CTTTGTACCATGTACATATTTGGTCATCGCAATTCACTGGCCCACAAGTACTAGGAATGTCTAGAGATATTTCAGGCATATCAGCCTCAGATGTATTTTCAGGACGATATATTAAAATGACATGATTTCCTCGATCAGCACTATGATCTGAGGAAGAATGTGTGAAATTTTGTGGTCTCATAGCTGGTAATAAATAAATTAATGAACATGGACCGTTAAATCTAGCAGGTAATTCACTGAAAGCAGTACTTCCACATAACCAATATGTCCCTGATGGTGCAGGGATATGGCAAAATTCATTTACTGACAGCCAAATTAATCCATGGACCATTCTCATAAATGCAATCTTGTATTGTTTTTGCCGTAAAATGTGGTCGATTTTGGGAGGTATGACTATGACTTAACTGATTAAGCTGTATCACAAAACCACATAATGCTTTAGGAGCATATGTTTGGTCATAAAACGGCATACCAGGTGTACAACACTGAGTGGTTTTTGGCCGGGTTACGTTGTGGCATGAACTGACATTGCAAATTTGAACATTGGTATGTAACACAGCACATGTATCGCAGTCAGAAATAGCATGTCCAGACCATGCTAGTCCTGTGGATAGACTTACTGGGTGCGGGATACAAACATTTTGTCTTGGAAACAACGTTTGTCTTGTTAGATTGAATATCAATTGAAATGTGTTGTCACTGTCTACATTAGAGACAGGACTACCCAGGAATGGTGTCATACACCAAATGACAGTTCTGAAAACAAAGTTCAGATTTATTCTGATCATCTTGGTCATCTGTGAGTTGGTGAGATTTCTGGCTTTGATGTCTTGATGACTGATGATATTGTCTTTGTAGAACACTCAGATGGTCATCTGTTAGCCGAACCGGAAGTATTCTTGGCTGGTTCAGGTTGTGTGGTTTTTGGAAGTTTTTCCACTTCTGGTAGCTGTAAAACACAAATACCATCAGCAGTATCTTGTTGTCATAGTACACACAACATGAAATATACTTGTGGATGTTTGCTCTAAACATTGTATTCTGTGCCACCAGTCTGACCTTACCTCACCTTTTAGGTCCTAAGGTCCTAACTGTAAGTGTTGAGACGCTAGTCGTCATTTAGGAGTATGGCAAATCTTCACTTTGGGGATCACCCCTGCCGACCTACAAGCCAACAGTTCTGCCCCAAAGCCCTTCCAGTTAGGCCACCCATCTATCCCTAATTAAGGAGGTGGTACAATTTTACAGTATGAAGCATGTGTCCATGCTTTACAACCTTGACATAGAACTGCTGCAACCTTAACCAAGAGATCTTAGAGCAGCCTTTACCTTTTAGCCTCTGATGAAAGAGATGTGTGATTCTTATTATGACAGTCCTGACCAAATTGCATCCACCCCCTTGAAGGTTCAGTCACACCTCACCTTCTTTGGGGGTTCTGCCAGAACTCAAGTGGAACTTCCTTGAAGCCTTGTAAAAAAAATTGCATGCTTTTTCCTAACAGGCTCAAAACATAATGGAAGTTCACACTCTAACATTATATAAAAATGCATCACCCGCAACAGCTGTAAAGAACCATCAGATCATGCTAAATGCAGCCAGATCATGGACAAAATCCTAATCTTGGAAGCTTAGCTGAAACCTGGTCACTGCATGTGGTGAAAAAACTTTTCTGCGTTTTACATTCTTTGAGACTGTGTGCTGAGACCCTTGCAGGACTGAGTCAAAATCTACATATGAAAATAAATTTTATTTGTACTTCTTGACTGGCCTGATGCATAATTATATGTAAATTTCTGTTTTACCAGAATCAATCAAAATTCTGCCTTCTTGGAGATTTCCAAACCTGTTGAATTAATTTTCAATTGTACTATAACCTAAAATACCAATTACCCCAGTTAGTCTTTATTATTCACCTCAGCTCCTGTGTTATTTGTATTTTTTCATAACTTCAAAACTCAAACCAATTTAGGAATAGAGACAGTGCTCTTGTTTATGCACACATCATTCTTTAATTATTACAAAGACAAATTTCTCCCGGCTGTTGTTAGATGTTAAATTTTCCCTTTTTGTTCTGATCTGAGATCAGCCGTGCTCCTTACAAATCTTCATCTGTTTTAAAAGATCTGAACCAGACTAGCTAAGCTGAGGCTAGTAATATTGTCAGACTTAAACTATGAGCTAATGTTAAGCTTATCAGAACCTCACTCATTAACATAAACATGGCAGACTGTGATGAGCATGTCCTAATCCTCCACTGTAGGGTCAGTTAGCAGTTTGCTAATGCTATCCTTTCAGCCTATGTTTCAAACATGACCAAATATCTATAACAGATTTTAGCTATGTCTCAACATAATCTCAACAGTTAAGGATAGCTGCTCATATGATTCTACCACAGGCGTTTACAGCTAAGGGAAACAGCAGATTCACTTGACCAAATTGTAACATTTAAACTACCTGGCATTATTGAACTACCCCATTTTGAGAATCAGACATTACTGTCATCATTAACAATGAGGCATCAAAACTCTTTTGAAGGCAAATTCTAAAACTTACAAAACTTTTAGAAACTGTGAGAGCAAAGCCAATTGTCACTTCTTTGGCAGTAATTACATCTGCATGAGCTGAACCAATAAAATGATCATAAAACCATAAAACCATTGAAGGCATCCGAGCTATAGATAACCAGATGTAAGATCCTCTCCACAGCCCCCACATATCAACCACGAGAGACATACAAAAATGCAAACAAGATTAACACAAAAAGGCAAGGAAAAAACATGAAAAAGGTTTAAGAGAAGTTACAATAAAGAATAAAATAAAATAAAATAAAGTAAAATAATATTTAACAATAGCCACGAAAGTATATGATTCCTTCAACATAATAAGTAATTATTTGGAAGAAATAATATATTAATTAGTCAAAAATATGAGGAAGCTAAGTAAATATGTAGTTATTTTTTACTTTCAGTTCACAGCTGGTGAGATGAGCTGAGCTGAGCTTAAATTCTAGGTAATTTGGGAATTACATAACTTTTAGTGCAACCTCTTAACTACATGCAACGCATCAAAGAATAGCTGTGACATTTCTGCCATTGCTCATACATAAACCACAGTACACATAAACCTTTGGTAAAGCAGAGATTGCAGGAGAAAAGTTTCAATAGGTGCTTTTAGCTGTCATTTGGAAAAGAAAACTATAAGATCATTAGTTAGGCTCTTTGTCAGTGTTGTACCTAAAGTGTTAGGAAAAAGCAATTTATAACATTGTTTCTATAACTATTTCATTAAGTCTTCATCCTCAGTTTGATAAAAGAAATAATGTGACATGGCAAGTGTTTACAAATGTTGTCTTTCTATCCAAAATAAATAAATGTGTAAAAAGAAAAATTGTAGTAAATCTGCCCCGAAATGTTCAGAAAACATTTTAAGAAGGTGATGCAATCATCCTTGGGTAGGAAAGGAGCATCTAAGGTTAAGTCCTTTATGAGCAAGAATGGCCATGATTTTAGGTATTTCACCATCTACAATGCATAATATCATTAAAAGATTCAAGGAATCTTGGGAAAATCTCTATGCATAAAGGGAAAAGCCAAAAACCACAACTGCTACCTTTGATCCCTCTGACAGAAGCACATTAAAAAATTGTATGCTACTGTGATATTACCACATGAGCTCGGGAATACTTTGACAACCCATTGCGTTTATAGTTTGCTGCACCATTGCTGCATCCCCAAATGTAGTATGTACAGTGAAAGCCATATGTCAACAATGTCCAGAAAAGATGTTGGCTTCTTTGGGCTCAAGCTCATTTGAAATGGAATGATAAACAGCGGAAACTGTGGTCTGATAAATCAAGTATTTATGGAAATAACAGACATTATGTTCTCTGTATCAAAGAAGAAAAGGATAATCCTTGTTGTGGCCTGGGGGTGAATTAGTGGCCATGGCATTGGTAAATTAGAATTACTACTTTCTGTTTTTATTAGCCCTTTACATACCGTTCCTTTTTTGGACTTGAGATTTGGGCAGACTATCAAAATGTAACCTATATCTAGTTTTAGAAAATTATGTTTTAAACTACTTTTTTCTTAAAAAGCTTTGGATATACTTTACAACACTATCAAAGAACAGATTTTGCCTAAATGATGATCTTATACTTTTCTTTTCCAAACAATTGTTAAAAGCGTATAATGTAAACTGCACAGTTTTCAAATGCTCTCAGCACACTTTTATCTGGTGGAAAGCTTTCATACAAAAAGCATGTGAACACATGGTTATATTGCACTGGTCATATTTTAAAAACAGTGTTGTTCATATGTTCATTTGTACTGAAGTTCTTAGTGTATGATCCGCTAAACTTGCCAGCCCTATAGTGCAGGTAGACTGTTGGTACTTAGTGCCTCTCTTAGTCAGTCTGACCCCAAAGTTGACAATATTGAAGCGGCTAAGCTGCTCACGATGTATTAAATTTAATTAGACTACAGAATAACAGTAGCTAACTAAACTAATCCAGTCTAATATACGTTTTTTATAGGCTACATGTGGTTCACCTTAATATGGGTGTTAGCATGACTGCTCCATAGCTGACTTGCTGTTAAACACAGATATACAAACTTTTGTATATTTGTACTGTTAAAAAGTGTGTATGTCCATGCTTACTTACTGCTAGCTCTGTAATGCTAAAGCCTGCCATACAGCCTGATATCATGAAAAATGAAAATGCAGTCCAGTCTTATCTGCAATTGGGTCTGTGTGACTACATGTTTTCATTCTAGTCAAGCAGAAGCATCTGATTCCACTTGTGCTCATGTTTTGATGATTGATTTTTATAAAAATCAATTTTTTAAAATTCATACTATAATTGAATATTAAGAACTACTGGTGTAGTAGAGATATTTAACCAACATATTCTTAAAAATCTGAAGAGCTTTCAATTCTAGTAGGTGTACACTGCACATTAATTATAATTCCTTATTGATTGCGACATTGTTTGTCCTAGGATGTTTTCCAGTGTGCCCCGAAGAGAAGTCATGCCTGAACGAGATCACCATGAAGTGTGACGAATGCCCATCAACAACAACGCAGGTAACAACAACAACAACCACAACAGGTCCTACCCCAGAAAGTTCAACAACAAGTGTCACAGTGTCCCCAACAACAGCCAGCACTACAACAGTTAGCTCAACAACATCAGGAACTTCAACCGCACCTCCATCAACTACAGCAATGACCTCTACAACTATCACTGTAACTCCTTCAACTACAACAGAGATTATTTCGACAACAACTGAAGTTGCTTCAACACCAACAACAATAACAATAAGCACAACTGCAACAACTACTACGACACCTGCTTGTTTGCGTTGGAGCTGCGAATGGTCTGAGTGGTTTGACACCAGTTACCCTAATATTGCACCAAACGGAGAAGGAGGTGAATTTGAATCTATAGCTGCCATTAGGAAAACAGGAAAGATTACCTGTGAGAAACCAGCAAAGATTGAATGCAGAGCCAAAGAATATGAGGATCAGACTTTAGCAGATTTGGGTCAAAATGTGACATGTGATGTGTCTGTGGGTCTTATTTGTTATAATATGTATCAGAATGGACCACCATGTTTGAACTATGAAATACGGGTGGAATGCTGTAATGATACTTGCGGGGAAACTACCAGCTCAACACCACCACCAACAACAACGTTGGTACCAACAACAACAACGTTGGTACCAACAACAACGTTGGTAACAACAACGCCAACCACAACAGGTCCTACCCCAGAAAATTCAACAACAAGTGTCACAGTGTCCCCAACAACAGCCAGCACTACAACAGTTAGCTCAACAACATCAGGAACTTCAACTGCACCTCCATCGACTACAGCAATGACCTCTACAACTATCACTGTAACTCCTTCAACTACAACAGAGATTATTTCGACAACAACTGAAGTTGCTTCGACAACAACAATAATAAGCACAACTGCAACAACTACAACGACACCTGCTTGTTTGCGTTGGAGCTGCGAATGGTCTGAGTGGTTTGACACCAGTTACCCTAATATTGCACCAAACGGAGAAGGAGGTGAATTTGAATCTATAGCTGCCATTAGGAAAACAGGAAAGATTACCTGTGAGAAACCAGCAAAGATTGAATGCAGAGCCAAAGAATATGAGGATCAGACTTTAGCAGATTTGGGTCAAAATGTGACATGTGATGTGTCTGTGGGTCTTATTTGTTATAACATGTATCAGAATGGACCACCATGTTTGAACTATGAAATACGGGTAGAATGCTGTAATGATACTTGCGGGGAAACTACCAGCTCAACACCACCACCAACAACAACGTTGGTAACAACAACGCCAACCACAACAGGTCCTACCCCAGAAAATTCAACAACAAGTGTCACAGTGTCCCCAACAACAGCCAGCACTACAACAGTTAGCTCAACAACATCAGGAACTTCAACTGCACCTCCATCGACTACAGCAATGACCTCTACAACTATCACTGTAACTCCTTCAACTACAACAGAGATTATTTCGACAACAACTGAAGTTGCTTCGACAACAACAATAATAAGCACAACTGCAACAACTACAACGACACCTGCTTGTTTGCGTTGGAGCTGCGAATGGTCTGAGTGGTTTGACACCAGTTACCCTAATATTGCACCAAACGGAGAAGGAGGTGAATTTGAATCTATAGCTGCCATTAGGAAAACAGGAAAGATTACCTGTGAGAAACCAGCAAAGATTGAATGCAGAGCCAAAGAATATGAGGATCAGACTTTAGCAGATTTGGGTCAAAATGTGACATGTGATGTGTCTGTGGGTCTTATTTGTTATAACATGTATCAGAATGGACCACCATGTTTGAACTATGAAATACGGGTAGAATGCTGTAATGATACTTGCGGGGAAACTACCAGCTCAACACCACCACCAACAACAACGTTGGTAACAACAACGCCAACCACAACAGGTCCTATCCCAGAAAATTCAACAACAAGTGTCACAGTGTCCCCAACAACAGCCAGCACTACAACAGTTAGCTCAACAACATCAGGAACTTCAACCGCACCTCCATCAACTACAGCAATGACCTCTACAACTATCACTGTAACTCCTTCAACTACAACAGAGATTATTTCGACAACAACTGAAGTTGCTTCGACAACAACAATAATAAGCACAACTGCAACAACTACAACGACACCTGCTTGTTTGCGTTGGAGCTGCGAATGGTCTGAGTGGTTTGACACCAGTTACCCTAATATTGCACCAAACAGAGAAGGAGGCGAATTTGAATCTATAGCTGCCATTAGGAAAACAGGAAAGATTACCTGTGAGAAACCAGCAAAGATTGAATGCAGAGCCAAAGACTACAAGGATAAGACTTTAGCAGATTTGGGTCAAAATGTGACATGTGATGTGTCTGTGGGTCTTATTTGTTATAACATGTATCAGAATGGACCACCATGTTTGAACTATGAAATACGGGTAGAATGCTGTAATGATACTTGCGGGGAAACTACCAGCTCAACACCACCACCAACAACAGCGTTGGTAACAACAACGCCAACCACAACAGGTCCTACCCCAGAAAATTCAACAACAAGTGTCACAGTGTCCCCAACAACAGCCAGCACTACAACAGTTAGCTCAACAACATCAGGAACTTCAACCGCACCTCCATCAACTACAGCAATGACCTCTACAACTATCACTGTAACTCCTTCAACTACAACAGAGATTATTTCGACAACAACTGAAGTTGCTTCGACAACAACAATAATAAGCACAACTGCAACAACTACAACGACACCTGCTTGTTTGCGTTGGAGCTGCAAATGGTCTGAGTGGTTTGACACCAGTTACCCTAATATTGCACCAAACGGAGAAGGAGGTGAATTTGAATCTATAGCTGCCATTAGGAAAACAGGAAAGATTACCTGTGAGAAACCAGCAAAGATTGAATGCAGAGCCAAAGAATATGAGGATCAGACTTTAGCAGATTTGGGTCAAAATGTGACATGTGATGTGTCTGTGGGTCTTATTTGTTATAACATGTATCAGAATGGACCACCATGTTTGAACTATGAAATACGGGTAGAATGCTGTAATGATACTTGCGGGGAAACTACCAGCTCAACACCACCACCAACAACAACGTTGGTAACAACAACGCCAACCACAACAGGTCCTACCCCAGAAAATTCAACAACAAGTGTCACAGTGTCCCCAACAACAGCCAGCACTACAACAGTTAGCTCAACAACATCAGGAACTTCAACCGCACCTCCGTCAACTACAGCAATGACCTCTACAACTATCACTGTAACTCCATCAACTACAACAGAGATTATTTCGACAACAACTGAAGTTGCTTCGACAACAACAATAATAAGCACAACTGCAACAACTACAACGACACCTGCTTGTTTGCGTTGGAGCTGCGAATGGTCTGAGTGGTTTGACACCAGTTACCCTAATATTGCACCAAACGGAGAAGGAGGCGAATTTGAATCTATAGCTGCCATTAGGAAAACAGGAAAGATTACCTGTGAGAAACCAGCAAAGATTGAATGCAGAGCCAAAGACTACAAGGATAAGACTTTAGCAGATTTGGGTCAAAATGTGACATGTGATGTGTCTGTGGGTCTTATTTGTTATAACATGTATCAGAATGGACCACCATGTTTGAACTATGAAATACGGGTAGAATGCTGTAATGATACTTGCGGGACACTACCAGCTCACCACCATCTCCACCAACAACAACACTGGTAACAACAACGCCAACCACAACAGGTCCTACCCCAGAAAGTTCAACAACAAGTGTCACAGTGTCCCCAACAACAGCCAGCACTACAGCAGTTAGCTCAACAACATCAGGAACTTCAACTGCACCTCCGTCAACTACAGCAGTGACCTCTACAACTATCACTGTAACTCCATCAACTACACCAGAGATTATTTCGACAACAACTGAAGTTGCTTCGACAACAACAATAATAAGCACAACTGCAACAACTACTACAACACCTGCTTGTTTGCCTTGGCACTGCCAATGGTCTGAGTGGTTTGACACCAGCTACCCTGATAATCCACCAAGGAGAGAAGGAGGCGAATTTGAATCTATAGCTGCCATTAGGAAAACAGGAAAGATTACCCTGTGAGACACCAGCAAAGATTGAATGCAGAGCCAAAGACTACAAGGATAAGACTTTAGCAGATTTGGGTCAAAATGTGACATGTGATGCGTCTGTGGGTCTTATTTGTTATAACATGTATCAGGATGGACCACCATGTTTGAACTATGAAATACGGGTAGAATGCTGTGATGGTACTTGCAGGACCACTACCAGCTCACCACCATCTCCACCAACAACAACACAGGTAACAACAACGCCAACGACAACAGGTCCTACCCCAGAAAGTTCAACAACAAGTGTCACAGTGTCCCCAACAACAGCCAGCACTATAACAATTAGCTCAACAACATCAGCAACTTCAACCGCACCTCCATCAACTACAGCAGTGACCTCCACAACTAGCACTGTAACTCCATCAACTACACCAGAGATTATTTCGAGAACAACTGAAGTAGCTTCAACAACAACAACAATAAGCACAACTGCAACAACTACTACGACACCTGCTTGTTTGCCTTGGCGCTGCCAATGGTCTGAGTGGTTTGACACCAGTTACCCTGATAATCCACCAAACGGAGAAGGAGGCGAATTTGAATCTATAGCTGCCATTAGGAAAACAGGAAAGATTCCCTGTGAGACACCAGCAAAGATTGAATGCAGAGCCAAAGACTACAAGGATCAGACTTTAGCAGATTTGGGTCAAAATGTGACATGTGATGCGTCTGTGGGTCTTATTTGTTATAACATGTATCAGATGGACCACCATGTTTGAACTATGAAATACGGGTAGAATGCTGTGATGGTACTTGCAGGGACCACTACCAGCTCACCACCATCTTCACAACAACGGAACAACACACGTGTAACAACAACGCCAACGACAACAGGTCCTACCCCAGAAAATTCAACAACAAGTGTCACAGTGTCCCCAACAACAGCCAGCACTACAACAGTTAGCTCAACAACATCAGGAACTTCAACCGCACCTCCATCAACTACAACAGAGATTATTTCGACAACAACTGAAGTTGCTTCGACAACAACAATAATAAGCACAACTGCAACAACTACTACGACACCTGCTTGTTTGCCTTGGCGCTGCCAATGGTCTGAGTGGTTTGACACCAGTTACCCTGATATCCACCAACGGGAGAAGGAGGCGAATTTGAATCTATAGCTGCCATTAGGAAAACAGGAAAGATTCCCTGTGAGACACCAGCAAAGATTGAATGCAGAGCCAAAGACTACAAGGATAAGACTTTAGCAGATTTGGGTCAAAATGTGACATGTGATGCGTCTGTGGGTCTTATTTGTTATAACATGTATCAGGATGGACCACCATGTTTGAACTATGAAATACGGGTAGAATGCTGTGATGGTACTTGCGGGACCACTACCAGCTCACCACCATCTCCACCAACAACAACACAGGTAACAACAACGCCAACGACAACAGGTCCTAACCCAGAAAAGTTCAACAACAAGTGTCACAGTGTCCCCAACAACAGCCAGCACTATAACAATTAGCTCAACAACATCAGCAACTTCAACCGCACCTCCATCAACTACAGCAGTGACCTCCACAACTATCACTGTAACTCCATCAACTACAACAGAGATTATTTCGAGAACAACTGAAGTAGCTTCAACAACAACAACAATAAGCACAACTGCAACAACTACTACGACACCTGCTTGTTTGCCTTGGCGCTGCCAATGGTCTGAGTGGTTTGACACCAGTTACCCTGATAATCCACCAAGGAGAGAAGGAGGCGAATTTGAATCTATAGCTGCCATTAGGAAAACAGGAAAGATTCCCTGTGAGACACCAGCAAAGATTGAATGCAGAGCCAAAGACTACAAGGATAAGACTTTAGCAGATTTGGGTCAAAATGTGACATGTGATGCGTCTGTGGGTCTTATTTGTTATAACATGTATCAGGATGGACCACCATGTTTGAACTATGAAATACGGGTAGAATGCTGTGATGGTACTTGCAGGACCACTACCAGCTCACCACCATCTCCACCAACAACAACACAGGTAACAACAACGCCAACGACAACAGGTCCTACCCCAGAAAGTTCAACAACAAGTGTCACAGTGTCCCCAACAACAGCCAGCACTATAACAATTAGCTCAACAACATCAGCAACTTCAACCGCACCTCCTCAACTACAGCAGTGACCTCCCAACTATCACTGTAACTCATCACTACACCAGAGATTATTTCGAGAACAACTGAAGTAGCTTCAACAACAACAACAACAATAAGCACAACTGCAACAACTACTACGACACCTGCTTGTTTGCCTTGGCGCTGCCAATGGTCTGAGTGGTTTGACACCAGTTACCCTGATAATCCACCAAGGAGAGAAGGAGGCGAATTTGAATCTATAGCTGCCATTAGGAAAACAGGAAAGATTCCCTGTGAGACACCAGCAAAGATTGAATGCAGAGCCAAAGACTACAAGGATAAGACTTTAGCAGATTTGGGTCAAAATGTGACATGTGATGCGTCTGTGGGTCTTATTTGTTATAACATGTATCAGGATGGACCACCATGTTTGAACTATGAAATACGGGTAGAATGCTGTGATGGTACTTGCAGGACCACTACCAGCTCACCACCATCTCCACCAACAACAACACAGGTAACAACAACGCCAACGACAACAGGTCCTACCCCAGAAAGTTCAACAACAAGTGTCACAGTGTCCCCAACAACAGCCAGCACTATAACAATTAGCTCAACAACATCAGCAACTTCAACCGCACCTCCATCAACTACAGCAGTGACCTCCACAACTAGCACTGTAACTCCATCAACTACACCAGAGATTATTTCGAGAACAACTGAAGTAGCTTCAACAACAACAACAATAAGCACAACTGCAACAACTACTACGACATCTGCTTGTTTGCCTTGGCGCTGCCAATGGTCTGAGTGGTTTGACACCAGTTACCCTGATAATCCACCAAGGAGAGAAGGAGGCGAATTTGAATCTATAGCTGCCATTAGGAAAACAGGAAAGATTCCCTGTGAGACACCAGCAAAGATTGAATGCAGAGCCAAAGACTACAAGGATAAGACTTTAGCAGATTTGGGTCAAAATGTGACATGTGATGCGTCTGTGGGTCTTATTTGTTATAACATGTATCAGGATGGACCACCATGTTTGAACTATGAAATACGGGTAGAATGCTGTGATGGTACTTGCAGGACCACTACCAGCTCACCACCATCTCCACCAACAACAACACAGGTAACAACAACGCCAACGACAACAGGTCCTACCCCAGAAAGTTCAACAACAAGTGTCACAGTGTCCCCAACAACAGCCAGCACTATAACAATTAGCTCAACAACATCAGCAACTTCAACCGCACCTCCATCAACTACAGCAGTGACCTCCACAACTATCACTGTAACTCCATCAACTACACCAGAGATTATTTCGAGAACAACTGAAGTAGCTTCAACAACAATAAGCACAACTGCAACAACTACTACGACACCTGCTTGTTTGCCTTGGCGCTGCCAATGGTCTGAGTGGTTTGACACCAGTTACCCTGATAATCCACCAAGGAGAGAAGGAGGCGAATTTGAATCTATAGCTGCCATTAGGAAAACAGGAAAGATTCCCTGTGAGACACCAGCAAAGATTGAATGCAGAGCCAAAGACTACAAGGATAAGACTTTAGCAGATTTGGGTCAAAATGTGACATGTGATGCATCTGTGGGTCTTATTTGTTATAACATGTATCAGGATGGACCACCATGTTTGAACTATGAAATACGGGTAGAATGCTGTGATGGTACTTGCAGGGACACTACCAGCTCACCACCATCTCCACCAACAACAACACAGGTAACAACAACGCCACCGACAACAGGTCCTACCCCAGAAAGTTCAACAACAAATGTCACAGTGTCCCCAACAACAGCCAGCGCTATAACAATTAGCTCAACAACATCAGCAACTTCAACCGCACCTCCATCAACTACAGCAGTGACCTCCACAACTATCACTGTAACTCCATCAACTACAACAGAGATTATTTCGAGAACAACTGAAGTAGCTTCAACAACAACAACAATAAGCACAACTGCAACAACTACTACGACACCTGCTTGTTTGCCTTGGCGCTGCCAATGGTCTGAGTGGTTTGACACCAGTTACCCTGATAATCCACCAAGGAGAGAAGGAGGCGAATTTGAATCTATAGCTGCCATTAGGAAAACAGGAAAGATTCCCTGTGAGAAACCAGTGAAGATTGAATGCAGAGCCAAAGACTACAAGGATAAGACTTTAGCAGATTTGGGTCAAAATGTGACATGTGATGCATCTGTGGGTCTTATTTGTTATAACATGTATCAGAATGGACTACCATGTTTGAACTATGAAATACGGGTAGAATGCTGTGATGATACCTGCGGGACCACTACCAGCTCAACACCACCACCAACAACAACGTTGGTAACAACAACGCCAACCACAACAGGTCCTACCCCAGAAAGTTCAACAACAAGTGTCACAGTGTCCCCAACAACAGCCAGCACTACAACAGTTAGCTCAACAACATCAGGAACTTCAACTGCACCTCCATCAACTACAGCAATGACCTCTACAACTATCACTGTAACTCCATCAACTACAACAGAGGTTATTTCGACAACAACTGAAGTAGCTTCAACACCAGGAACCACAATAAGCACAACTGCACCAACTTCAACAACATCTGTATCAGCCTCTACACAAATAACAACAGTAAACCAAACCACAACTGTCCCCACAACTACATCTGTCACAGTAGGCACGTTTTTTGTGTTCACAAAGAAAACCACAGTCAGATCCCCAGGACCCCAAAAATGTGCCTGCGGATATGACACCAAGACATTCCAGCCAGGTAAGTGCTGCTTGAATAACTAATTATTTGTTCTTGATAGTACTTTCAGTTTTCTATTAAAAGTTGGGGTTGTAGGGCTGGGAAAACTTATCAATAATTATTGCTTACAGCCATGAAACTGACAGGTGGAAGTCTATAATCTAATCTTATTTCCAGATAAGAAAACAGTATTACAGAAACATCCTAAGTTGCCAAAATATCCTAAATATTTTCAACCCCAGAGCTGTCTTAACATCTGTTTTAACCATCTGCTTTAATCGTTTTATGCATTGACAGGCTGCACAGTTCACTATAACTAGCATAATGACGCTACATTTATCTACACTGAAAACGGTGCTTTGACAGCGTTTTAAAAGACGCTGCAGACATGATCTCCACTGTCCCCTCTTATTACCTTCATGTGTTATGTTGATAAAAAGATACACTATTACAGAGATGGTGGTAAATAATGAAGAGACAGAGCTGAACGAGTGTCTGTTTATTAGGAGGAATAACGTTAGCGCGCTCAGCTAAAGCGTTTGGGAAATGAAACTGAAACTGGAGCAGCATGAACAGCATGAAGCGCTGACACAATATTCTTAACTTTCAGTTTATCGCGCTGTAGTTTTATTTAACTTTCTTTACACTATCATTAGCTGTCTGACTAGCTAACTTGATTACATGTTTACTAGATTCAGCTGTGAGCTTATGGTCGGTTGCTAGGTAACAGACACGACAGTTGATTGTCGACTTTGATTGAGTAAGTTAAGATTTTCTAACTTGAGATAAGAAAAGATGCTGTAAGATAAGATAAGATTCTTAAATTAAGACAAGATTTGCTTCTGTAATACAAATTTGTGAAAAATCTTATCTTGACCTGTCAGATCTTAAGTTAAGACAAAAAGATAAGAATTTTCTGTAATATGGCCCCTGGTCCTTTACACAGCAATGAACTGTGCTGACTCACAGAAAAATGCCATGAAAAGCAGTACTTTTCCTTTTTAAATTTTATTTTGATGATTAGGCGTTGTGAGGTCCTATCACACTGAGTGCCATTTTTGTGGTTATGGTGCAATCACAAAATAAAACTGGTGCCTGTCGATGTAGCAGATATATTTTTGTTTGTGGCCAGTGCTAACTTAAGATAGAGTGGTGCAGTTAGAGTTAAACTGAATACATTGTCAACAGACATGTTTAGACATGCTACAACATTATTCTATCAAATCAGCTTCTAACTAGTGCAGCAGCACTTTGATATTTTCATAATGCTTCACACAAATTGACACATTCCTTTCCAAATTTGGCAAGTGTTTTATAGCAATAACCAACTAATAACACATGGACTCTATTGGCTTATTGCTTTAGAAAAAATGGTGAAAACAATACAATAATACAATACAATGAAATACACCAATGATCAATAAATATTTATGGTCTTTTTTATTTATATTTATTTATGTTTAATGAAACTGCAATCAGCTTAGTCCTGACCGTCACTTTCTTAGCAAAGCAGAAGTGTCCTTTTACAACACATTCTGATTGCTTTCACTTATTTTTCACATACGTTTTCAAAACAGTTAACAGAGATCTCACAGAAAAACACAGAAGTATATTTATTAAACTCTGAAAAACAAAAGGAAAACATGTACTCTTGTATTTATATCTACCTTCAGAACATTCAGATGCACTACTATGGCCAATTTGGGTTAAACATTGGGTGGACAAAAAAAATGAATTTACATGCTAATCTGATGGCAGACATTGAATTTGGGGATGTAGACATAACAGCAGAAATCATGGGTGAATATATGTAAATTATTAATAATTTATTTAATTTTTGTTATTATACAATTTTGCAATTGTAGTGTATTTAGTAACAGTTATACAGTATCAGCCCCGACAGTTGTAGAATGTGCCAAAGTGTAAGTATATAACAATGTGGAACCTATTCTAGAGTGAGAGTGGTGAAGGGCAGCATTGTCAAAAATGCCATACCCTAAGCCTGAGTGTTAGTAGAAGGATAGATAGTGTCAGAGGAGCCCAAACAGAAAGCCTTGCCATTCATACTATATTGAACCGAAATCAGAACAAACAATTATACAAATGCATAACAAGCAATTATAGACCATGGCAGCAATTATGACGTGCATGACAGAAAGTGAAAGAATAATCAAGTCTGCATAAATCTATTACACATCCCTCTACTGACAAATACAGTCTTTAGCCTCCTGTTTGTCATCATTTTAACAAGGATAAAAAAGGCAAAAGCAGAAATGTGTGTTTCTGAATATCACTGGCAATCTTTTTTTGTTGTTAAAGGAGGTGTGCAGTTAATTGCCTTGAAACACATGGCTATAGTATATCCGATAGAATCCATTCTCTAAATGTTTCACAATCTTGGTAAACATCTCTGTCATTGTGTTTTATATAATGACAGCCTTACCTATTACCTGTTCCTCATCTGATAGACACATGTCCAAAAACCTATTAAATGAAAGGTTGTGGTAAAAAGTGTCTGGGAGGATGAGACGCAGGCAGTGTTGGCAGAGTTGGTTTAAACATTTAGTAAGGGGGCAAACCAGTAACGAAATCCAAAAACAGGCTAAGGTCAAACGGGTATGCACAGACAGGATGAAAACAGAATCAAAAAAGCAGGCAAAAAGGTCAGAACTTGAACAAGGCAAAACAGAGTATAGAGGGGTCAGGCAAACTCACAAACCAGAAAAACCAAGGACAACAAATGGCTCGGTAATGTGCAGCAGACTGAAACAATAATTCACAATGTGAGTGTGAACAAAGACAGGTTATATGTGGTGAAACACAGGTGGTGGAAATGCGAGGCAGAACGTGGATAGGTGGATGGTACAGAGTCAGGTGACCTCCCAGAGGATTCTAGGAGTTGGAATTTGCAACAGAGTAAGGAGCAGTGGTTTCAGCGAATCCAGGGAGGGAGGTAGCAGTACCCCCCCAACCCAAGGAGCCCAGGACAGCCGACAAACAGGGCCGTCCACAACGACCACCACGCGTGTGACTGGAGGCACTGGAGGAACGTCCCATGGAGCAGGACAGATGAACAGAAATGGATTCACAGGTAGGATCCCTAGAGGGGACCCCAACACTGGCAGGACAGAAACTGGATAATTGCTGTTTCTTGGGACATCCCCTGGGAAGAGGAGCAGACTTTTCTGGGTGCTGGCTGTGGAACAGGACCAGCACACCTGGGTCCAGGACATCAGATGCAGGCACCCAGCTCCTCTCCTCAAGACCAAAACCCTCCCAATCAATCAAATATTGCAAGACACCACCTCATCGCCTGGAATCCAGCACCTGCTAAACAGCATAGACAGGGGTGCCTCCAACAGGCTTGAGTGGAGAAACATGGAAGAAGTTAGAAACTTGAGGCAACTCAAGTGTACAAGTAACATCATTAACTCTCTTAATTACCTTGAATGGACGAATATACTTTGGTTCCAATTTCTTGCTACCTTCCACAAACCTGAAATCCCTGGTCGATAGCCAAACTCTGTCTCCAGGTTGATAGGAGAGGGTCTCTCCAAGATGGCGATTGGCTTGCTCTTTATAACGTTGAATAGCTGTTTCCATAAGGCAGTGTGTTTGTTCCCAAACCTCCTTACTCTGTCGCATCCAGTCAATGGCAGGAATGCCTGAGCCCAAGTAATGAGGCGATCATGAAATTGTTCGAGCACATATGTTTTATTTGCAGGGCAATATCGAGCACATGTTTTCCTCAACGCAGTCAGATTAAACTGCTTTCCACTTAATTGTTTATAGACCAACTGTTAAGGATTCTTGTCACTCGCTGCTACACTGGGCCTTTGTTGCACTTAGTATGGCTTCTTCCTTTCAAGAAGAGGATTCTGACAGAGCTAAGCATATCACATTCAGCTCTTACCCAGTAGCCTGTGGATTTATCATCTCAGATAAGGACCCTTATCCCATGTGCACCGTGTGCATGGGCATTTCACATGCCCAGACATCACTCACTAATCAGCTCACTGCAGTGTTTTGGTGGTGAAGATTTTAGAGAGACGACTTCAAGTTGCTGCCTCATCAAGACAGCCCATGAATTCTGACCTCCAAGCTTGCTACAGAGAAGGCTACTATGCTGGCTAAATCACAGCCTTCCGCCAGCTGGGCTGACATCATGGAGGTGGAATAGCCCAATTTTTAATCAAGAACTACTCAAAGCTGATGACAGGGAAGTAAAGGATGCAGAGTAGAACAAAGAGGTGCTCACGCACCTTCTATCATGACCTGATTAAACTTTGCAAAAGAGCTGTGGCTGAACTCAAAATTGAATGGTCAGCATCTCAGGGCAACCTGAGATGAAGTAGGACTGGTATAAATCTTTCTCTCACCGCATGCCCATCAACGGTTACTGGAAGTGAGTATCATGGAGGAGCTTGAGCTCTCCAGCCCACATACAGTAGAGCCTACCATAGAACAGGAGGGCCACTCACTCTTCAGCAAGCCTCTCTCTAACTGGGAAAGTGGAGGTTTGCAAAAGAGCTGATGCCAAACTAAAGCTTGAACTCTCCAGCCCTTCTACTGTAGAGCCTTCAGTGGCTCAGTACCTAAATCCTAACAGGAGGTACACTCTCTCCTTACCTAGCTTTTCTCTCTTTGGGAAGGTGAAAAGCTTTACTGAGAAAATATTTAGCAAAAACTGGCAAAATATAATAAATTTATATTAGAATGAAAGAAAATAAGCAGGAATCTTTTTGAAAAAAGTTTGATTTAACCCTTATTATTTGTATTTGTAACATATTTTGAACATTGTGATACTTAACATTTTGCTTGCCCTGGTCACACAAATGATAACAGTTTATCCAGGAGACTGAAATCTAATGTCAAATACAATGAAAACATAGAAAAGAAGACCGTCAACTCAGACCTTTTTTTTTACGGAAATAACACAGGACCCCAATGTTCATGGTGTTCCTTTAGTCTTATGGGAGGCACAAAACCTCCCCTAGTCCACCCTCAATTTTAACTCTGATGGAAAATATGATGTCTGTAGTGAATTCTTATGGTCATAATGTTGTTGTTGTTTTTTTTAGTAATTTCCTCCAACTATATAGCTTCCAAATATAAGTTTATAGCAAATGTATTGACTTTTCCTTGTAGTAAGGCATGCCGATGCACAGTTGCAAGTTGGGTGTAGTGGTGCCCCTGCTTATTAGCTTATGAGTAATTGCAAATGAAATATTAATCTTATAGAAATTTGCTTTCCTTTTTTTCTCTAACACAAATGAGTTGTTAATCATTTTATTTTTACTCAATTCTACCTCTAGGGTCTTTTATGTATAATACAACTGGTGAGGCCGGGCAGTGTTCCAGTGTTTATTGTGGTCAAGCGTGTGAAATTGTTACAATTCCCCAACCTTGCCCTTCCACTACTCCTACTACTCCTACTACTACTACTACTACTACTACTACTAACACTACTACTATTACTTCTGCACCTGTGCAACATGTGGACTGCCAGTACGTTAATCCACCAAGAAAGGTAATGTGGATAAACACAACCAACTTCATTAAACTTTCATTAGAGTTTGGAAATGTTCAACCTGTATGTTTTAGTTAAAAGCCAACTGACCTCGTCTCGGCCACAGACCATTATAACACTGACTAAAAAATAGCTTTTTCTGTTGTTTTGAAATAATTAAACTATGTATAGAATCTTGTAAATTTATTTACAGAATAATATGTAGATGGCATGTGCCTGAGCCACAAAATGTCAAAGTTCAGTAATTTAGTTGCTATTTCAACTACAATGGGTGCTTCTGAGGAGATACAAAAGATACAGTAAACAAATCTTTAAATAGTTCTCAAGATATTTAAATTTACACAATTTTTTTTTCATCAAATGACAGTGTATTCATGTAGAAAACTATAAACCCAATTCCAAAAAAGGACAGTAGATAAGGCAAATAAAAACAGAAAGCAGTGTTCTATAAATCTACTTTGAGTTGTATTTAAAGTAGGGATGGATTGTCACCTTTTTTCAGGCTGAGTGTGAGTAATTTTTTTTAGTACTCACCGATACCATACTGAGTAACCTACTTAGAATGAAGCAGTTGTTAGTGTAAATGAGTGCAATGTGCTGTAACAGTTAAATCTTAAAAATCTAGTTGATATTAAATGATGTGAATCAGCTATCTGTGTTACATTAGTTACCTTGGATTGAGTAGTGCTGCAGTGGGGAAGAGTGGGCTTTGTCAGAGAAGCACTTCTGTACAGGTGAAGGTCATGTAACACAATGTTAAACATGCTTCTGTCTCTATTTTTGTAGAGAGTGTTGGGAGTATCATATTTGGAATGAGAATATATTCACAACAAAACAATACTGTTTTCAATTTAATACAGTTGAAACAGAATTCACTGATCACTGATTCTGTTTTTATTGATATTTCACATACTGGTTGGCCATTCAGTTGGAGGTTTGCACGTTAAGGGATAGATTAACGTTTTGCACCATTGCATACTCCAATTTGGCATTAAATTCTAGGCACAACGTCTCTTTAGCACCCATAAAAAGACAGGAGTGGTCACTGGTCTTTTGACTCATTATACACCAACCAGCCACTTCATTAAAACCACCTCCTTGCATCTCAACTTACCACAGAGGTTCACTTTGTAGTTCTACAATTACGGACTGTAGTTCTTCTGTCTCTCTGCATACTTCATTAGTCCCCTTTTGGCAGTGACACTGACGTGGTGGTGGTGTGTTAGTGTGTGTTGTGCTGGTCTGAGTGGATCAGACACAGCAGTGCTGCTGGAGTTTTTAAACACCTCAGTGTCACTGCTGGACTGAGAATAGTCCGCCAACCCAGGGCTCTAGACAAAAAATTAGCTTAAAGAGCCACTGGCTCTTAAATGAAAAAAAAATCAGCTCTGTGATTTAAGTATCTCTGCCTTTCACAATCCCCTAATGAAATCACATGCATTTTTATGCCTACGATTCTCACCATGTTTATTCACAGTCTCTTTTTTAATTGATTCGTTCCTGTTGAGAAGTCTGTTTTCCCAGCTATATCTCTATAGTCTGCATTATCATACCAGAGCCATGCAATTCCTGAGGAAAAATCTGATATTTTTCGCTTCGCCATTTTCTACACGCTGACTTTCACTGCAAGAAGATGTTACACACAGGCATCCATTTGATGCTACAACCAGTTACAGTAATTAGTTACATTTTAAAATGAAAAATGATTTTAAAAATATGTAAAGAACAAAAAAATTAATAACAAAATTAATAGTTAACAAAATTAATAATTAACAAAAAAATAGCAATAAATAAATACATACCCATAAAAAAAAATTATTCAGAGTTGCAAATGTGACCATCACAGTCTGAAGCACTGCAACCAATAATATATAGCCAACAGTGTTCTGTGACCACTAATGAAGGACTAGAGGATGACCAACACAAACTGCAGCAGCATAGAAGCTATCGTTGCTGACTTTACATCTACAAGGTGGACTGACAAGGTCAGAGTGTCTGATTGAGTGAACAGTGAGTGGACACTCCGGCAGCAAAACTCCAGCAGCACTGCTGTGTCTGATCCACTCATACCAGTGCAACACACACTAACACACTACCACCACGTCAGTGTTACTGCAGTGCTGAGAGTGATCCACAACCCATGGTCCTGACCATTGAAGAACAAAGTAAAAGGCTGCTACAAAGTATGCAGAGAAACAGTTGGACTACAGTCTGTAATTGTAGAACTATAAAGTGAGCCTTTATGGTATGTGTAACTGATTAAATGGACAGTGAGTGTGGAAACAAGGAGGTGCTTTTAAAGAAGTGGCTGGTTGGTGTATTTGGGGTATTACACGGATTTTACAATACCACATGGTTTCCAAACGCTCTCAGTACAGAACCCAAGTTGAGTTGATTCCACCAGCCGAAACTGAATTAAAAGTAAAAAAATAAATGCTTAATTTCCTAGTTTTGACATATTATGTAATATTAATGTCTTATTTACTCAATTACTCATATAATTGAAATAATCACATACTTTCTTGACTAATAACGATTCATTTTTATCAAGTTAGTCAATATTCTGATATATTTTACCCTGTTCCTTATAGGAGGAAAAAAAAACTGAAATTCAGCATTATAATTTGTTTACACCCTTGAGACCAAAACCAGATTTGAGTACTAAGAGCAGTAGGACTACACTAGGAAACAGGTTTTCATACAAAAGCATGTGAGCCAAACATGTGGTTGAATTGTGCTGGTCATAAATTAATTAAGAAGTTGCACCCGTGTTCATTGACAAGGAAGATCTTATTAGATATCTTGCCACCCCCACTGGAGACAGTAGTTTGTCAGTTATTATGACCTCTCTTGATAAATCTGCCCCCAAAAATATATAACTGTGATGCGGATATACTGTATCTTTAGGTGAAAGCAATGGTTTGAAAGCACAAATAAGGTACATGATTTATTTTAATTTCACATAGTATGTTATCCAAAAACTACTTGACTGTATGTTTGCTTTCTTCTTTATGTTCCTCATAATGACAGAATGGAGAAACCTGGACTGAGGATTGTTCTGTGAAAACATGCATAAATGGTTCACTCATCATCCTGCCTGTGTGCAAGGATTTAGCTCCTGCTATACCCGTGTGTGTAAATCCAAACTCTCAAGCAGAGAAGATTAAAGATGGGTGTTGTTTCCATTATGAATGTCCATGTAAGTTTAGTCTGAACATTAAGCAAGTACTGTGACTTCATAGTGCCTGAAATCACAAAAACAAAGTAAGGCAAAACAAGTGCCTTTTTGCGTGGTAATTTTCTTCTTTTTTTCCAAAAGGTAAATGCATGGGCTGGGGAGATCCACATTACGAAACTTTTGATGGACAGTATTATGCTTTCCAAGGAAACTGCACATATGTGTTGGTCCAGGAAATCATCAAGAAGCACAACTTCAGTGTCCACATCAAGAACTATTATTGTAATGATGATCAGAGCTTGGCTTGTCCTGAGAGTTTGACCATATACTATAAATCATATAAAATCAGCTTGATACAGACAAGAAACCCAACTGTGAACACAGTAAGTGTTTTAAGAGTGAAATTGATACAAACTCAACTGATAACTGATAATAGACATTCTGAGTATACTTTATATGGATCATTCTGCTGAACTGGTTCAAAGTCAGAGTTGAAAGCACATTTCAGACTTTTAGCTGACTTGAACTTAAGACTAAAATCATTTTGTTTTGAGAGACCCTATACCTTAATTAAAACACAAAACGTTTACTTAGTTGCAGAAAATACGTTAGTTTCGATAATGGCAGTTCTTAATGTTACACACCAATTTTCAGACTTTGGGACACACTTCAAAACAATGAGATATAACTGCTCACTATATGGCCATGAGGGACAGGGATTCAGTCTCACTTCATGCACTACAATGCAGGGGTGTGGCTGATATAAGATCCCGTCTATGGACTAAAACTCTTAGTGTTTTAGTAGTGACATGAGAACATGGTACAGCATTTTTTTAATAAAAAAAAGTTTTGTTTTTTTTTAAAGTGTTTATTAATTAATGAACTAATGATAAATTTAACTTTTTCAACATAAGTTTGAAATATTGAAAAATTTGAAAAAGGGGAGGGGGGGATAAATTATTACTGAAAGTATTATTTTCACTAGAGATGGCTTTGTACCACTTTTTCATGTCTAATACTGATACCGCAACCTTGAGTATCTGCTGATACTGATACCCATCCAATACCGTCCCCTCTCTTAAACAAATAAGCTATTAATAATACATTTATCTGGATGCACTTTGCTTAACAAAGCCATCTAAATACCATCATGTACAAACTGTGAAACAAATATTTTACTCCCCTGATGGATGAAATACATAGCCTGCAACAAGACTCTTATTTTAAACTGCTGTTTCTTTTTATTTAAGCTGTTTTCACACACAGAACTTTTAGCAGCATGTTTGATTGGTCAGCACAATTCAGTGCGCATATGTTTCAACACTCAATATAGGCTACACCTCGATGTTATAGCAAAAAACAAGGTGCAATGTAGACCATAACACAGAAATAATAGCATTTCCAGTAAAAAAATGTGCAGTGGAACACATTACAGTAGGTCTGGCATTTTAAAGCACACACAGCTGCCTAGGCTATTATACCTGATATCAAGTTAGCTGCATTGTTAACACCACACAGTTGACATAATGACAGGGCTGCTGGCTGGTCTCAATCATGTTCAAGCTACTGTTCACATGACACATGCTGCTCATCTGTCTTGTTACTAGGGCTGTCAAAATTGGCCAAAAATGACAAACATATAGGTTTGAATCATTCAACTGTCTTTTCTTGCGCATTATGTCATTAAGAGGGCAAACCAATACAACAAGTGTTGCATCGGATTCAGTTCCCCCTCAAATTCACATTCCCCTTTAGGAATCACGTCCACAGGAGCACTATGAGAAGAAATCAGCACCAAGCAACAATGCCTACGAAAAGTAAAAAAGGTTCAATGAAGGTGTGAATCTTCACTTTGCCGCAGATTATGGATGGATTATTAAATTGAGGCATAACACTTTTTCACCCATTTTGCTTTCCATTGTTTCAGGGCTGTGTGAATACAGATGCCCACATGATTTATCGGGGGAACATGAATTTGAGGAGGAGCTGAATCGGATGCATTCCTTTAAGATGTGCCCTCAGGTTGCTAGTGCTGGCATGGTAGTCTACCTGTAGCTTACATAGCTTGCATACAACTTCAACTTGAGGTTCCACAATTTGTCTGCTGACAAGCTCTACACCAAAGTATTTCCAAACGGGGCTTTTTAGATTGCTTAGAGTGCAACTCACTCTCTCTGTGGCCGAATTGGGTTGTGAACTCTCTGCCGTCATTACCACATGAATGTTGTTGGATTATTTGCTTGGTTCAGTTGGACTTACATTTAATTTTAAAACATGAAAGTGATGTTTTGTGAATCCTGTCCATCATGCAGTGCATTCAGTGCATTCAAAACATCCATCATGCAGTGCATTCAGTGCATTCAAAACATCACTTTCAGGCCCACACAATGTTGCTGCTCTTTTCACAACAGAATATAAATTTTGACTATCGAATTTTATTTAATTATGTAATCTAATTTAGAATGTTCCTTGGCAGCCCTAGATGTGACACATGTTGCTCAAAGTTTAGTTAAGCATTTATATGAAAGTTTAGGCTAATGGATCATATTATGAGTCCTGCTTTGTTGTAAAAACAGCTTTTTGCACTAAGGAAGGTTCAGGATTAAACCTTTTGTTTAGCCTTTTTATACAATATTGAAGAGATTGTATTTTCATGCAAGTCATGCAAGCTTAAAACCCTTTTTTTTTACCAGGTATTGGTCAATAATGAAAAGAAGAACACAACTTTCTCTAATGCAGACTTTACCATCACCAGTACTGGGATTAAGATGATTGTGACCATTCCTGCTATCAGTGCTGAGATTAATTTCGCAGGCATGAACTTTTTAGTGACCCTACCATCTTCTTTATTCCACAACAACACTGAGGGACAGTGTGGTAAGTGCAACTACAGGTCCACAACAGGCTATGTGCATATGGGCGACAAATTAAAGGAAAAACCAACACAAAGTGTCTTAGTAGGGTACTGGGTTACCATGAGCCACAAGAAGAGCTTCAGTGTTCTTTGGCATAGATTGTACAAGTCTCTGGAACGGTACTGGGGGAATGGAACACCATTATTACAAAAGATTTTCCCTCAGTTAGTGTTTAGGTGATGATAGTAGAAAGCACTTTCTAACATATCTGTCCAAGATCTCTTATCCAGTTGGGTTGCAATTGGATAACTACAAAGACCAAATGATTTTCTTCCTTTTTTAATGCTCATCAAACCATTCAGTGACCCCTGTGGATGTGGGGGCATTGTCATCCTGGAAGAGACCACTGCCATCAGGATAGAGATGTTTCATCATAGAATAAAGTTTATCAATTATAATAACTTTGTATTGATTTGCAGTTACTCTTCTTACTAAGGACAATTAATGCACAAGCATCACAGTTTTCACCACAATTTTCAACCCTGTTTACTTACATTAAAAGTAAAGTTTTTTTCTTCTCCTGTAAAGTTATCATTTTGGAGATACAAGGTTTTGTTCCAACAGCAGCTGGTCCAAAACTTTAATCTCCAACATAGTTACTTCACAGGAGAAGGAAAAGAGGTTTCATTCCAACAGCAACAATATGCAAACATGTCAGAAGGTATATGTGCAATTTTTCTTCTGAACTGTTAAGTTTTAACTGAATTGTCTTGGAAGGTGTTTGTGACAACAACAGGACAAATGACTGCAGACTACCTAATGGACAAATTGGGTCATGTGAGACAATGGCAGGTGCTTGGAAAGTAAACGACACACACTGCCCCTTCATACCTCCCACCATATCCCCAACCTCAACAACAGCTACCAAAACCACAAATGCACCATGTGACCCAGACATCTGCAAAGTCATCCTCAGCAAGTAAGGCAGATGTAATAATGAAGAGATATGGTTATAAATGCAGTACATTCAGAGTGATTGTGGATGGCCTAGATAGATTAATACTGTCACCAGTTAATACTAAGATTACAATATATCTATAAAATTTATGTTAAGTGAATGATGTCCTTCATAATTTCTTTGCTGTACGGCAATTTTTTATGTTCTTTTATAGGGTGTTTGAAAAGTGCCACAACTTATCTTCCCCCGATCCTTTCTATACGGCTTGTAAATATGATGTATGCCGCATGGGGAACTCCTCTGGCTGCTATAGTCTGGAGGCATATGCCAGCACATGTGCTGATGTGTCTGAATGTGTGGACTGGAGGAATTCAACCAATGGACTTTGTGGTGAGGAGCAGAAAACAAAATTATCATTAAAAGCAGGATTGGAAAATGTAGATGATCATTTTCATTAGTGTTCATTTCTTTTTATAGCATACAAGTGTCCCAGCCATAAAGTCTACAAGGCATGTGGGCCCAAGGTGGAAGAAACCTGCAATTCAAAGTAATAGAGCAGTTACAAAAATCAGTTACTAATACAGTACTGTATTATTTCAGTTCCTCATTCTTTGAACGTTATCTGTTAATAGGAAGTGCAATCTTTTTTTTTTTTACCATCAATCCAGGTACAATGAGAAGTTTGTAGATTGTAAGTCTCAGATGTGTCAAGAATTCAAGGAAGGATGCTTCTGTCCTAACGGCACCACTCTGTTTAGCGCTGCTACAGACGTTTGTACATCCTTCTGTGGTAAGTTAATACTGTGACTCATAATTGATCCATAATATAATTCTATAAGCCATAATACAAAGGCAGATTATACTGTGTATTGTGTATTTCTAGTCTGATCTCTGAACAGGAAGTTGTCAGGCTGGGCTTTTTTTAAACTTCTTCAGTAAAGCAGTCTATAAATGTAACTGTAAATGTATTTCTTCTGTGTCTTAGGTTGTGTAGGTCCTGATGGACTGCCTAGGAAGGTGAGTTAACTACACAGGTTGGAATTTTCTTTTTCTGTTGTAGAAATCTAATCAATCAATCAAAGGATGAAGAAGAAAAGTAATTTATTATTATTATTATTATTATTATTATTATTATAAATAGGGCTTTTTAAAGTCTAACAGAGCTTCACTACCTTGGAAGAGGTGAAACATTACTCATAACTTAATATCACAAGGTGTTCTCCGTAGCAAAGATAGGTTCAGCAACAGAATGTGACCCTGAGGTCGTCACCTCTCTCTAACAGTTCAGCGAGAAAAGCAATTACATAAAAGAGGAACTGAAAGGAGACGTACTTTATCAAGTGTCAGACAGTTAACAGTAAGAGAGGTATATTTCTCAAAATCACACAATGCAGTTTTTTTGTACAATCAAATACATAAATTCAATCAATGTCGCTGCATCCTCAAATGCAAGTTAAAACTCTAAAATGCAAAGAAGAAACCATATATAAATATGATCCAGCAATGCCGCCACCTTCTCTGGGCCTGAACTCATTTAAAATGGACTGAGGGAAAGTGGAAAAGTGCCCTGTGGTCCGACAAATTTTTTTTGGACATCATGGACACTGTGTCCTCCAGGCTAAAGATCACTCAGCTTGTTATCAGTGCACAGTTCAAAAGCCAGTATTCATTGATGGTATAGGGGAGCATTAGTGCGCATGGCATGGGTGACGTGCACATCTGTAAAGGCACCATTAATGCTGAACAATATATACATGTTTTGGCAACACGTCGACGCACAACACGACAATGTCTTTTTCAGGGAAGGCCTTGCTTAATTCAGCAAGACAATATCAAACCACATTCCACATGTATTACAACAGCATTCCGTCGTATTAAAAGAGTCTGGGTGCTAAACTGACCTGCCTGCAGTTCAGACCTGTCACCACTAAAAACATTTGCCGCATTATAAAATGAAATATATATACGAGAAAGGAGACTCTGAACTGTTGAGCAGCTGAAATCCTATATCAAAAAAGAATGGGAAAACATTTCACTTTCAAAACTACAGCAGTGTCTCCTCAGTTCCCAAATGCTTACAGAGTGTTGTTAAAAGAAGAGGTGATTAAAACACAGTGGTAAACATGTCCTTGTCCCAACTTTTTTGGAACATGTTGTTGGCATGAAATTCAAAATGGGCAAATATTTTTCAAAAAACAATCAAATTTCTTAGTTTCAACGTTTGATATTTTGTCTTTGTAGTATTTTCCTTTAAAAATATGGTTCACATGATTTGCATATCACTACATTCTATTTTTATAACATATTGCATCCCAACTTTTTTGGAAATGGGCTTGTATTAAAGGAATATTGATTACATTGATTCCAGTGTATTAAAGTCCCACAGGACCCATTCTCATCTGAAACTACTGACCACATACCTTCCTCAGTTAGCACTGCAGTTTATCTCCCTGGCATATTGGTGGAATGTTTTATGATTTGCCATAGAAAATTTCTGCAGTGTATGAGCACCTAGTATAGTGTTATGGAAATGCCAATAGATGACTTTATATCTTTTATAACATTTCTGCCTGTCCTGAATATTCAAATAGTACTCAGGAAGATGAAGATTGGACTGTACTTCAAATGCAGCATAAAATAATCTACAATTATTTTAAAATCCAGCACATAAACTTATAGTTCATGGAATACTGTAGATACACAGAATGGGATTAGTGAGCTTCAGGAAGAAATCGTACTGTTTTGTTTACTCTCATCATGTGTTTTTCCTGCAGCCAGGAGACAAATGGAAAATGAACTGTGAAGATTGTAAATGCAGTGCTGAGAACATGGGTCCAGTATGTAAACCTGTCCAGTGTCCAATCCTTGAACCCTGCAACCAAGCAGGCTATGAGATCAAAATAGATGGATGCTGTCCCGAATGTGGTGAGTGATCAGTACATTGTTTTAGGATTTTTTCCTTTTAAAAGACGAATTTTAAGACTAAAATCTGCCAAAATATGTGAATTATACTAAATATACTAAAAATACAGTGCCGTGAAAAAGAATTTGCACCTCAACCAATTTCTGCTATTTTTGCTAATTTGTCATATTTAGAAGAAACAAATTATTTATTTAGTAGAAATAAAAAACTACCTTCAGAGCAACTTTGGAGAACACCCTGCGGCCTTAAAATATAAAATATACCTAATCAAGAAAAAATTGTGGGTTTTGCTGACAAGCAGTCACAGCAATTTGCTAAACAGCATATATGTATACTCTTGTGCAAAAAAAGGGCCAAGCCCAAAATGGCAAAACATTGAGCTTTTATTGGTCGTTTTAAGCCACATTTTTTAAGACAATGAAATTTGTTTTTTTGTTGTTTTTTTTTGCTGTCATTGTATTGTGCTGTCAATCCTGAATGTGCAAGGTAGACCCAGTTCCCTCCAGCCTTCCAAAGCATGTCACTGCAGTTGGATGCTGCTTAGGCACCAAAGGACCATTTGAGAGAAGCTCTCCATTCTCTTCAATTAATTTCAGGCTGTTTTAGGTGATGATATAAAAGCTTAAAGGCCATTGTAGACTCCTCTTCTAGACTGTCTGTCATTTGATCCACAGGCTTGACAATCACTTTATAGTTTCAAAATGAACAAACCACATACCTTTTAATAACAATTATTTATAGCTGAGAGTCATTCTGCATGCGTAAAATGCTTTAGTGTGACCACAAATGTTCAACAAATCTGGTCTTTAGTTTTCTTTCATTAGAGCTTAAAATTAAAATGATGGCTAGTGTTAACATCTGGTCTTTAATTTGCATTGTAAACATTTCCTTTTGTAAATGATCAGGCAAAATAATTCATTCATAAATTAAGGGAGAGTTTTTTTAAAGGATACATTTGGGCTTTTCTGTTGTTTATAAGGGGTGGTACAGTGGCGCAGTCGCCTCACACGTGTGGGTTTCCTCCGTGTGCTCCGGTTTCCTCCCACAGTCCAAAGACATGCAGTCAGGCCGATTGGACACCCTAAATTGCCCCTCGGTGTGAGTGTGTGTGTGGATGTGGATGTTTGTCTGTCTGTCCGCCCTGCGATGGACTGGCGACCTGTCCAGGTTGCATTGGCCTTCTGCCCAATGACCACTGGGATAGGCTCCAGCTCCCCCTGCGGCCCAGAAGGATAAGCGGTTTAGAAAATGTGTGTGTGTGTGTTTCCAAGGAACTTCCAAGGAATTGGAACATGTATTTAAAAAGCTTAGCATGCTTTATTTGGAAATGATCAGTTACACACTAGTAACACTGTTTATGCAGATATTCTCCCTCTCTCTCAGCAGTAAGTCTCAGTCTCACAAGCTTTACTTCATATGACCTACACCACAGTACACACTATGTCTCTACACTACATCTAGAGTTCAGCTGAGCACTTAATTAAGTCGTCTGATCTTTTAAAGATATCTGATGAAGTATTTTTGTAATTCTTCTCAACCTGCCTTTTTGTTTCATCAGTACGCAAGCCAGTCTGTGTCTTCAACAACACAGAATACTTGGTAAGTTTTATGTTTCATCTCTGGATTTCACTTTGCCCACCAACGAGGTATAATTTATGTGTATTTTAAGCATGATGTCAGTTTCTTGGGTAATACGTTCATCTGTGTTCTCATGTGGAACAGACTGTATAGTAAGGATCATCTTTGTGAATTCAGTAACACTTTTACATGCGACATTTCTGTGGTGAAGTGATTTTTTGGAAATGGGGTTGTATTAAAAGAATATTGATTACATTGATTCCAGGGTATTAAAGTCCCACAGGACCCATTCTCATCTGAAACTACTGACCACATACCTTCCTCAGTTAGCACTGCAGTTTATCTCCCTGGCATATTGGTGGAATGTTTTATGATTTGCCATAGAAAGTTTCTGCAGTGTATGAGCACCTAGTATAGTGTTATGGAAATGCCAATAGATGACTTTATATCTTTTATAACATTTCTGCCTGTCCTGAATATTCAAATAGTACTCAGGAAGATGAAGATTGGACTGTACTTCAAATGCAGCATAAAATAATCTACAATTATTTTAAAATCCAGCACATAAACTTATAGTTCATGGAATACTGTAGATACACAGAATGGGATTAGTGAGCTTCAGGAAGAAATCGTACTGTTTTGTTTACTCTCATCATGTGTTTTTCCTGCAGCCAGGAGACAAATGGAAAATGAACTGTGAAGATTGTAAATGCAGTGCTGAGAACATGGGTCCAGTATGTAAACCTGTCCAGTGTCCAATCCTTGAACCCTGCAACCAAGCAGGCTATGAGATCAAAATAGATGGATGCTGTCCCGAATGTGGTGAGTGATCAGTACATTGTTTTAGGATTTTTTCCTTTTAAAAGACGAATTTTAAGACTAAAATCTGCCAAAATATGTGAATTATACTAAATATACTAAAAATACAGTGCCGTGAAAAAGAATTTGCACCTCAACCAATTTCTGCTATTTTTGCTAATTTGTCATATTTAGAAGAAACAAATTATTTATTTAGTAGAAATAAAAAACTACCTTCAGAGCAACTTTGGAGAACACCCTGCGGCCTTAAAATATAAAATATACCTAATCAAGAAAAATTTGTGGGTTTTGCTGACAAGCAGTCACAGCAATTTGCTAAATAGCATATATGTATACTCTTGTGCAAAAAAAGGGCCAAGCCCAAAATGGCAAAACATTGAGCTTTTATTGGTCGTTTTAAGCCACATTTTTTAAGACAATGAAATGCTGTCATTGTATTGTGCTGTCAATCCTGAATGTGCACGGTAGATCCAGTTCCCTCCTGCCTTCCAAAGCATGTCACTGCAGTTGGATGCTGCTTAGGCACCAAAGGACCATTTGAGAGAAGCTCTCCATTCTCTTCAATTAATTTCAGGCTGTTTTAGGTGATGATATAAAAGCTTAAAAGCCATTGTAGACTCCTCTTCTAGACTTTCTGTCATTTGATCCACAGGCTTGACAATCACTTTATAGTTTCAAAATGAACAATTCATTCATAAATTAAGGGAGAGTTTTTAAAGGATACATTTGGGCTTTTCTGTTGTTTATAAGGGGTGGTACAGTGGCGCAGTCGCCTCACACGTGTGGGTTTCCTCCGTGTGCTCCGGTTTCCTCCCACAGTCCAAAGACATGCAGTCAGGCCGATTGGACACCCTAAATTGCCCCTCGGTGTGAGTGTGTGTGTGGATGTTTGTCTGTCTGCCCTGCAATGGACTGGCGACCTGTCCAGGTTGTATTGGCCTTCTTCCCAATGACCACTGGGATAGGCTCCAGCTCCCCCTGCGGCCCAGAAGGATAAGCGGTTTAGAAAATGTGTGTGTGTGTTTCCAAGGAACTTCCAAGGAATTGGAACATGTATTTAAAAAGCTTAGCATGCTTTATTTGGAAATGATCAGTTACACACTAGTAACACTGTTTATGCAGATATTCTCCCTCTCTCTCAGCAGTAAGTCTCAGTCTTACAAGCTTTACTTCATATGACCTACACCACAGTACACACTATGTCTCTACACTACATCTAGAGTTCAGCTGAGCACTTAATTAAGTCGTCTGATCTTTTAAAGATATCTGATGAAGTATTTTTGTAATTCTTCTCAACCTGCCTTTTTGTTTCATCAGTACGCAAGCCAGTCTGTGTCTTCAACAACACAGAATACTTGGTAAGTTTTATGTTTCATCTCTGGATTTCACTTTGCCCACCAACGAGGTATAATTTATGTGTATTTTAAGCATGATGTCATACGTCATGACTTGGGTAATACGTTCATCTGTGTTCTCATGTGGAACAGACTGTATAGTAAGGATCATCTTTGTGAATTCAGTAACACTTTTACATGCGACATTTCTGTGGTGAAGTGATTTTACTTGTAATGAGCAGTTCAGCAAAATTGTGTGGGTGGAGGTTTGCAAAGATGTGATATAGCATGCTGAACAGTTTACAGTTGGAGACAAAAAATACATCACTGACAGCTGACTGTGTCATGTCCTTTTATAGCCTGGAGTTAAAGTTCCAGTTCCAGACATCTGTAAGGACTGCAGCTGTGGTTCCACCGTGGACCCCGAGACTGGACTACAAGCTATAGAATGCTCTCCAGTGACCTGCAACACTACCTGCTCTCAGGTAATGGGCTTAATCTACATTAATAATGTTTAAATAATGAACTAAATAGTTCTAGCTTTTTATCTATTCTAGTCACTAGAACTGTCTGTATTTTAAGTGAAATTTAAATGTAAAACTTATTTAATAGTGGTCATATTTCTTTGGAAGGATAGCTAGGAATGACTGCTGATATGATTGTTATATTGTTGTATATGCTAATATAATACTGTTATTAAGTAATAGTGCCATAGTAGCTAGCGATTTGCAGGTTATTTTCAATGAGAACATAGTATAGGTCTCAGTATTTGCAGGCATCATTCATGAGAGCCTGGTATATTCAAGGATATTTGGTTAGTCATTCATTGTTTAACGCTTGAAGATCTACAGTTACAACAAATTATTAAAACAGGGAAAACAAAAAAGATGTTTTTTCTTCCAGCAAAATGAAAATGTACACACTATAACATTTTTGACATTCAATTAATATTGAAATATCTCTTCTACTTAACACAGTAAACACAAATGTGGTATTGTTTGATTGTTTTTTAAAAAGGTTTGATTGAGATCAAACCCTGGGAATTGAAATACAAGCTCTAAGCACTGTCCAATAGTTTACTGCAAAGTCAGCTTGAATTTAAGTGTAGAACCAAATAGGACAGCTAGTGAGAGTAAGTAATAACAAACTTTACTGAAGGCTCAGGTATAAATTCAGGAAACAATTCAGGATGTGATACTTGAAGGGGAATTAATAGATTATTTAAAAATTTAGCATAATTTGCTTGCTGAGAAGTAAAAAAACAATTTAGATTGTTTTAATAAGAAATGAACCATTTTAGAGAAGCTTGCTAATTCACAGTGCACAATGGCAGTGATAGGAGTTTAGGTTCCAAGGGCAGGTTCTTTGCATGCTTAAATTATTCTGTAGATTGACTGAAAATGTGTTGTATATGGCTCTATATAGAGCCGTTTTATAAAAGGCTCCATATAGTACATTACAGTAAATTCTCCATCAATCTGAAGAGCTATTTCACTTTAAGCATGCAAGTGGTTCTCTGAGTGTTTATGGTTGTATATAGAACTATTTGTCTTCTCTTAAGAACAATTGAAGAACCATCGTTTTTAAGAGTGTATTACTAACATTGTAAGGAAAACTTTACTTTCTTAAAGGTGAAAGTAATACTCAAATAATGAGGCAAAGAAACATAGTTTGTGTCAGCTAATGCAGCAAAAATGCATTTATTATTTTGTTTTAGAAGCAGCTTGTGTGCAAAATAAACTGTATGTATTGTGCCCTAGGAGACTTCATGTATGCAATAAATAAAGGATTAATTGGACTAACTAACGCTGTTGTTTTATGTAGGGCTTCAGCTATGTACTCCACCCAGGGAAATGCTGTGGAAGATGTGAACAACAACAATGTATTTATACAGGACCAAACAAAAAAGTATACACTATTGAGGTATGGGCAACAGAGTGTGATTTTAAATTAGATTCAAAAAGTTACCTATGACCCCTGCTTTACTGCACCGTGGTCATTCCTGTCTTTGTGTCTCTCATACCATTTCAGGTTGGAGAGAGCTTTAACCCTCCAAATGAAAAGTGTGCATATAGCTATAATTGCACTAAAGTCAATGATGCATTTACGTTGGTGGCAAACAAATCTACATGTCCAGCATTTAACCCAGAAAACTGCGTAAATGTAAGTTGATCAATCTAATTTGCTATGCAAAGCCATTTAACTTGCATTCGATTTTTCAGAATTGTAAGGAATGTAATAGTAATGCATAGTAATCAATAATTACAATTTTACACTGTTTCCTTAAGGGCACCGTGACAACCACACCAGATGGATGTTGCAAAACTTGTAAGATGATAAATTTTCTTTGTCTCCATTTCTCTCTCACTAATTACTAATCAGTTTCATTCAAAATGTTTAATCAAAATGGTCCAAATAATGCTTTTAACTGATTTAACCACAAAGAGCTGTCCATAGTACACACAGTCCTACCCTACACCTACCCATAATCTTAATTATGTCCTGAATCTTACTAACAGAACAGTACAATGTACAAACCGCCCTCTGAGGCTATTTTACATGGACCTATAGTTTCGAAACTGAATAATACATTATCATGCTGCTCCTTCGTTTGGGAATGCAGAACTTCATAGCATTAGAACAAAATGTATCAATGTTTCTGTCTTTAATGTGGTGTGTATATGAATACGACGTGTTCTTTAGAGCATTTGATCACTTATTATATCAAGTATGAGCATCTTTGTGCCTGGAATGTCTTCATCAGGCATGGGACACTTCTGACAAAGACTGAATGGTCTAAATGTTGCATTTAAAAAGAAAAAAAAAACATAATTCTGGTCCTAAAGTGTGATTGGCTGAATTCTGAAGCCATTGTAAAATACTCACTGTACACACATCAATTGAATTGTGTATCAATGTGCCAAGTAATAGTGAAACATAAAACATTTACTCTTCATAGTAATGTTTAGCTGTTAATTTACTAGGCAACTGTGATCTAATAAATTATATATAATAGATTGTATTCTAAAATATAATCTTAATCTTAGCTTCGTGAATGTTAAATGTGATTGTTATGAATAATTTATTTTACATTGGTGTATTTTAGTATATTGTATTTAGTTGCTGTAAAGCAGTAAGCCACTTAAGACCTTGAAGTGATTTTACTGTAATGCTGGTGCATAAAATCAATGTTTGAACTACTCTTGCTTTTCTTTATGTGATATTATTTTTCTTCTGGCACCGTAAAGTACTTTGACTATAATACACCTGCGTTTCTTTTCTCAGGTGAGATTCAGAACTGCCGTGTTCAGAGGAACAACACCTACCTGTTAGCAGACAGCTGTACATCTGTTCATCCTGTGGAGTTAACCTCCTGCTCCGGCTCCTGTGACACCAGCTCAATGTGAGTGTGACTTGCAAACACACACACGCACATATGAAATAGAGGCATAGAAGCAGGTAGGAAAAGGAAACTAAATAAATAAAAAAATAAAAATAATAAATCAAATTTACACAAGGTAAGGCAAACATTGATACATATCATGGCAAGCCAAACAGGAAATATTTAACCATGTCTCTTGTGTCTGTGCAGATACTCAATGGCAGCTAACAGCATGATGCACCGGTGCTCCTGCTGTCAGGAACTGCGTATCAGCAGCAAGGAGGTGGAGATGAAGTGTCCTGACCAGCGCCAGCTCAATCACACCTACACTTATGTTGAAGAGTGTGGCTGCCATGTGACAGAGTGCCAAAAAATGCAGTGATTAAAAATTTCAGTTCTCTGATTTCTCACCAACTAATTTCAATAGACTTCCCATCAACTGTGATTGCATCTGTTAATGAAACTCTGTTGATTTGAGTCCAAGTAACGCATCAAAGGATGAGATAAATGTATTTCTTTCTGCGCTGTAATGCCAGAAGTACTTTTATTAATGATTAGTATGTTATATGATCGGTGCGTAATTTCTTTGATTTTTGGGCTACAGGGTACTATGTTTTGCTATCTAAAAATGGCAAAAGGTATAAGCACTGTAATCTCCTGCATGCTTTGTCTTAACTTACTCAATTTATCATGATGGCCTAATATTCCATTTCTTTAAATATTATCTTCTTATGAAATATGTGATTTCTTTTTGTAAATAAATGACAATAAAATCAAGCAGCATCAATCATGGTGTGTGTTGTAATCTGTTAGTTGTGAAAAGTCTTTTACAATGTTTCTACACATCAACAGAATTATTTAAATTCCACAAAGTCCAACATTAATTTATTTAATTTAACACTAATTAAACTAGTAATAGATTTCTAATTTATCTGAGCTTTAGTCAACATCAAAACATTATTGCTGCGCAAAAAAGTCTTTCTCAGTTCACTCACATATCCATATGATTTCCTCAGTGGGCAGATAATCCTCAGGTGGTTAATGCATTAAGAAATCTATCTCTGAATCTGAGGAGAGGATCATGCTCTTTAGTGTTGGCAGCATACACTGTTGTGCATAATCTGCACTTATCTGAAAAAAAAAAAATCTAAAAAATGTGCAGGAACAACCATTTGCTACAGCTAGCCCAGAGGACACCTGGAAAGGCATGATGATGTAATGATAATCAGCAGTGTGAAGAACCATGTGAAACCATAATGTTTGTCTGATTACTCCATTTACTGTCTTATTTACAACAGTTTTTCTAGCAATATGAAGTACAGCATATGAAGATCATTGTAACATTGCTGAAATGTTCAATATTTAAAGCTGTAAGACTCAACATAAGACTCCATATATTGAGTATTTAATGATTTACAGGATGTGATTTTGTCAGATGTCTCTGGGATTATTTAAATGATAATCGTTGTCCTTAGTGGTAATGTTATTCAGGTACTTTGCTGTACCAACCTTGCACCTAAGACTCAAACAGTGTCATAGAACCTTAACTTAAATGCCCTTGAGCGTTTCCTTTGCATTGCCTACTTATAAACAACAATGAAGTCTGCTTATGACAAGAATTTCAGCAGGTCAATCTCCCAATTTAACCAATACAGACAGCCAAATAGTCACAAATCAATGAAAAGTACAAGTTATTGATCCAGCAATACAGCTCTATGGACAAATCAATGGCAGCATACAAAATAGGTCTGCAGAAACACCATATACACTGTACATTAAAGTTTTATAGATAGACCAATGAGCTTGAACAATACAGTTCTGTAGGCAGAAAAATGACTGTACAATACTGTTCTATAGACAAACCAATGACAGTGTATATTACAGTCCTATAGACAGACCAATGATAGTGTTCAATATAGTCCTATAGACAGACCAGTGACAGTGTACAATACGATTCTATGAACAGACCAATAACAGTGTACAATACAATTCTATAGACAGTCCAATGAAAGTGTACAATACAGTTCTATAGACAGACAAATAACAGTGTACAATACAGTTCTATAGACAGACCAATGACAGTGTACAATACAGTTCTATAGACAGACAAATAACAGTGTACAATACAGTTCTATAGACAGTCCAATGAAAGTGTACAATACAGTTCTATAGACAGACAAATAACAGTGTACAATACAGTTCTATAGACAGACCAATGACAGTGTACAATACAGCTCTATAGACAGACCAATGACAATGTACAATACAGTTCTATAAGTGTACAATACAGCTTTATAGACAGACCAATGACAGTGTACAATACAGTTCTATAGACAGACAAATAACTGTACAATACAACTCCATAGACAGACTAATGAAAGTGTACAATACAGTTCTATAGACAGACCAATGACAGTGTACAATACAGTTCTATAGACAGACCGATGACAGTGTACAATACAGGTCTACAGACAGACAAATGACAGTGCACAATATGATTCTATGAATGACGAGAATCTACACAGACCTTTAATTCAGTGTTTTCAAACTCCAGGCTTGGAATGTTTATTCCAGCTGACTAGTCCAACAACAGGAAAACAGCACAACTTTGCCATAAGATCTTATGCCCCTAAGCATGGAAATGAGAACACATTGGAGAAATTATGAGGTCCATTACGTTGCCTCTGCACAGAAAACGCAGCCGTTATTGAGCTTGGAGGCTTGGAGCACCCCCTGCATTGTATAGTTTAGTGTTTTTCTCTGCTGTCCACATCTCGTTCAGCTCAAGAAGGGATTAATTAGAGAATAATATAGGTATTTTAACCAGGGAAACCACAATTATGCAGTGTAGGGGTTGCAGGACTGGAGTTGGGGAACTCTGCACTATCAAACATACAAAATCATGTCTGTCGAAACACGATGTAGTTTCCCGACCCAAACAACATTCAGTCTTATATTTAATGTTTATGTTTCTCCATTCAAATGTGATCTAAATCTCCAGAAATATAGAAGTAAAGCTATACCTGGCAGTTTGCTAGCTCCATTTGGGGGACAACTGTCTAGCTCTCGGCTGTTAATATTAGCAAAAGTTATCTATAGGCTAGCATTGCTCACATCTGTGTTAAATAGCTGATATTGCCTTACCCTTCCTATGATGACAGAGTTTTTTTCCTTATTATGCAACACCATGGGATCCTTTACCCACCCTGACGTGAAGAGATGGTAGCCGGTCAGACAATGCTGTGAGGGAGTTAATGTTTTCTGCTCTGACATTGCGGCACAGACTGCTGAAGATGACCTTAATAGTAGTCCTAATAATGGCTCTTAAAATGATGTACATGTAATGTAACTCAGTACTAATTGTCTATCCAGCTGTTTTTTGTGTCGATAAACTTGCTGTACTGTGATTTGTGTTACTGGCGCTGCTTCAAAGCCTCTCAGTGTAAGCTAGGTTTGTGTCAGCAAACTAACTCTGTCACCATGCAGTACTAACTCTGTCACCATGACAACCAATTATACCACCTGATCCTCATTCCCACTTAAGCAACCCTGCTACTTAAACCTCTCAGTTGCACTCACTCTTTGTGAAGTATTGCCAGTATGCTTGTGTCTGCCTAACCAAGCTAACAGGCTCAGACTTGGCTTTCTTAAAGTATGAAGTTTAACAATAATAACAACACTGGTTTGCTCACGCTGAAAAACCTCTTTTTGAGAATAATTTATGAAGGTCAGTCACCTGAATTTGAACTTTCCCACTCTATCTAACTTATGCTGCTAGCTTTGCTAGGTGAGCTGTTTGAAACAACCTGTAGCTACAGTAAGAGTGTTAGTTCCATTTACTCAGCTGCATGTGTCTAAAAAGTGTATGAAGTATATGCAAGTGACAGTTACTCAAGTAGAAATTTATCAGCAAGATTTGAACATCTGTCTATCCATGTATCACTCTGGCTTAAGTAGCTGGTAGTTGGTGCCTTCTGTCATGTTTTGGTGCAATTGTGTACAAAAACCAGATTATGATGTGCTGTTCTTATTTGCCAAATAAATTATGTATGTGTTCCATTGTAATTTCTAACTTTTCTTTTTTCATCAGCAAACAAAAAAAAATTATCCACCTCTAGAAAGCGTAAAACTTTTTTGCTTTTATGGTGATTCTGTTCAATTTTCTGTACATTTCCTACTAGTAAGGATGATGGTTGTGTTTTATTGTTTTTTCTTTTTATTCGTTCCCACCAGTTAACTTAATGGAGTAAAATCCTCAGCAGACTAAGGCTAAGACTACTTTAGGGGTTAAAAAAAAAATATGTTGAATTATCAAAAAATAACGCACAGTTAAAGAACCTTTGATGTTACATTTAAGTTAAGTAACTTAAAGTATCCCATTTAGCTCCCCCTCAAATTCACGTTCCCTTCGACAAATGAGGTCTTCGCTGAAAAGAAAACAACAGCAAGCAACACTAGAACTATGGAAAGCGAAAGGCTTAAAAAAAGATTAAACGCTCACGTTTTTTCACCCTATTCCCAATATAAATTCAACCCAGATAACATAGCATAACTGAGATTTCATGATAAATGTTATTTTCAGTTTGAGTAAACAGTAAACAATCATAGTGATAAAACTTTTTGTACTGTTTGTCGCCGATTGGGTGAATACAGTTGCCGTACAAACCTTTTTTGAACCATTTCACTTTCTGTAGTTCAGTGTTGCTTGGCGTTGTTATCTGTTCAGTGAATGCACATGCCCGAGGACCTGATTTGCCAAAGGGAACATGAATTTTAGGGGGAACTGAATTGGATGCAACACTGGTGTTAGCCGTGTTAAATGGCTGTAGCTACAAGCTAGTAACTATAAAAGCACATTAGCTTGCACACATTGATCTCAGTTGAGAATGCAGTTTTGACAGAAAACACTGAAGTAACCCTGGAGTGAGAGCTTAATTTTAAAAAGTTTTAGACCAAAATTTTATTACAAAACTATCACAAAACAATGTCACAAGTATCAAGCAACGCATTTATAACCATTTTGCATAATAACTTAATGGGATGTAGCTTTTAGAGCCATTAAATGCTTCGGATGTCTGGTTCCTAGTATTATAATGTATAATCCTAGTAATATAATGTCTATAATTCTGACTTGATCAACTTCTCTACAAAGGTGCATTTCACACCGAACCACTCTGAATGATTTTGTTTACATCTAAACCATTGAATCATTAAGTAATTTTGCTAAATCAGTGGAGAGTAAGCTAAAATAGGCTATTCAAATATGTGAGCTTCTGGAAGTTCTTATACTGAGTGACACTTTCTGACCGAAAGATGAAAACTGATTGTTCATGGATTCAATGTAATTTATTTAACACTACTAGCTGCTAGTTAGCTCCGACCTCATTAACTTACTAGAAATGTTTCACCAAAACAAGACAAGAATGACTGCACAAATGTGTGGTTCAAAAGCCACATCATTATTATTATTTTTTACACTGTTATTATTAGTGCACAAAATATCCAAAAAGCTCATGAAAAAGAGAAAATGTGCACTGAGCATGCCGGTTACTCCCAGACAGGTGAGTAGAAGTATTTGGGTTGGCTGCCATGGTGGCCAGTTATATATCAGGGGTGGTCAGAAGCACTCTGTCCACCCCTCTAACTCCCTCATCCGTTCATTAATTTCTACGTAACACAAGCATCA